AAACCACAGATGTCTTAAGCTTTTGGCATGACTTATTGGTTATGCACCTTATGGTGTTCCCGTGTAAGATTGATGTCGTCGGGATTGTATTAGATTGAAACTATCTCCGTAATTTTGATCTTGTGTTTATTCATTCTCTCCCATTACGATTAATGAAACTGCAAAAAAAATTGCTGCTCACCGTATACAAAATGTAAAAGATATCTTACTCCCAAACTATGCTATGGAAAAAGAAAATATAATTCAACAAGCAAAGTAAAAACTTTCGTCATCTTCTACAAACAATGAACATCATGAATAGTGTGAAGTTAAAGAGCGTAACACACTCGAAAAGTGTCACTAACATAAATCTAACTTATCAACAAAAAAAATGAAACAATTACCGCTAACATCGACCTAAAGTACAAACAAGAACAAAAAAGGTGTCACTAAAATCAAACTTTGTTTGTTTGTCGTTAAGCACAAAGCTACACAATAGGATATTTGTGCTGTGCCCATCATGAGTATCGAAACCCGGTTTTTAGCGGTTTGAGCCCTCAGGCTTACTGCTGAGCCACTGGGGCAAAGTCAACCTAAATTACAAAAAAAAATAACAAGAACGAAAAGGTGTAACTAATGTTAACCACTACCAAGAACAACAAAACGTTGTTACTAAAACAACCAAAAAATAACAAGAGGATCGTAAACGGTCATTAACACCTGATTGGGGGGGAAGGGGATTTCCCGATTTTAGTTGTTTCATATAAAAGTGTTATTTTATACTTTTTCATTGACATGTTCGTACAGCTTGTTCCTTCATTACTATTTGATTGCTCTTTAAAAAAAAAACTTTTGTCATTACCTTATATCTATTATAAGTATTAGAGTTAATATTTCATATATTATCTACCCATCACTTATGTTAGTGTTTCGCTAAAATTGTAATTAATAGATAGTATTGAATTTGACTTATTTATGAAGTTCAGTTCTGAGAGCCCCATACACAATTTCCCCAAGCCCCCTCAGCTCAGACTAACATCAACCTAAAATACTACCAAAAATAAAAAGGTGTCATTAACATCAACCTAAAATATACCACCAAAAATAAAAAGGTGTCATTAACATCAACCTAAAATATACCACCAAAAATAAAAAGGTGCACTAACATCAACCTAAAATACCAACAATAATGAGAAATATATATATATATAGTGAAGTATTGACCTAAGGAGTAAAATTATTTACATATTATATCTCTAATTATATTCATTTCGATCTTTATATGTGTCACACAAAAATAGTATAATTGATTTCAACTTCAATTCAAGTTCTTAGAAAGTTTTACCTGTAACAATTTATATAATACTTTGTTCAAAGTATTTCAACGTTTCGTTATTTCTTGATTTCTTGGCCGGTGCTATATTTATTCTATACATACACACAACTTTCACTGGGCATAGAGGAACACGGACTCTTTCACATTGTTTGATAAAGTACTGCCCCCTCACATTTCAATTATATTTATATTTAACCCTGCCCCTGTTGTAGCAACCATCCTACGTCCTCCTCACTTATAAAACAAAAGCTACGCCCTTGAAATTTCTATGTATGTGTCTCGTTGCACATGTGTGTGTGTGTGTGTAATATTATATTCCATCGTGAAACTGGAAAAAATGTTATTGGATTTCCTGTTTAGGATATTTTTGGACAAGTTTCGAGCTGCTAACGCAAATCTTCATCAGGTCGAAACGTCATCCAAAAACTTCCTAGACAGATGCAGTCCATTAACAACACCTTTCGGCTATTAATGTTTTATTTATGGATAAAACAAGTAATTATACTTTTGTTTTAATTTTACTTGATTCAAAAAACACACAACATTTTGCAAAGTTTACCTAGCGTTGTCAGATACATAAGTTTGAATAACCTTTTCAAATGACCAAAAATGCTTTTATTTCACTTCTAAACAATCATCCTGCCTTAAAACTATTCCACAGTTTCCTCGTGAAAGTCACTATACTCAGCGAGTGAGCGCGTGTGTTAATAACCAAGTTAAAAACGGAAAATTTAAAGCATTACGATATCTAAAAAAATTATCAAGCCATTGTTTTATTATAATTACATGAAGACAATTAATTGTTGTGGTAAATTGCTGTAAATACCACAGTGACATGAACACTATTTTAAATGATTCAGTTCACTTTGTAAGATTAGACGTCTTAACGTCCAAGCTAGAAATAAAAATCCTTTTTTATTACAGTTGTATAAACCTGACAAATTTTCAAGTGGCTTACATTTTTTACAACCTTCACATTTTCGTACACCACAAATATACGGCTTACCAAAAAATCGTAAACCGAATGTCTCCTCTAGTTCTATAGTTTTGTCTTATAAACTTTATAACTATAATCTTGGAAAATTTTCTAGCTTGGGTATTAGCCTCCATATTTCACGAAAGCTTCGTCTTTTGTCAAAAACTCTTGAATCTTTCACAAAACTAAAAGATTCTGACCTTTATGGTTAGCTTTGGTGTAAAAAATTCTATTCACACAAGTTCTTGTTGAAGAAGCAATTCATTGTGTTCTGTTTTATTGTTTGTTGAATATTGTGTAAAGCTACTCGAGGGCTATCTACTCTAGTCGTCCCTAATTTACAAGTGATGGATTAGAGAGAAGACAGCCAGTCAATATCACTCACGGCTACGTTCATTATAACCAGATAGACTGTCTAAGAATGGAAATCCTGTTCACCTGTTTTAGCTCATTTATTCGTGTTCAGAAGTGAAGAAATTGTCATTTCCATTGCACTCCATTCTCCATTTTTCTGGACCCGTTATCGATAGTTTTTCTTTCACATTCGAATGCAGTCCACCACAACATTATGTTTGCAGTTGAAAGTGAAGTTGTTGAAAAAGCTTATTTTTTTAAATGGTTTGTTTGAAATAAAAACAAACTTGGATTTCATACCACTGTTTTTCGTAAAGGCATATATTCGGGAGTTAATATATAATGGAGTTGTTTCAATGAACCTAGAATCCGTGTTTCGATACCCGTGGTGGGCAGAGCACAGATAGCCCATTGTGTAGCTTTGTGCTTAATTATAAATAAACAAACAATGATCCTACACAAGAAATAGGGATATCATAAAGTTCCTTTTTCATAAAGCTAACATTACTTGATATCCACAGCAAGTATTTCCAACAAAGCTAAATATGTTAAAGTCACAGCTTGATTCACAAAGCGAGTATCTAATAGTTACACGTAAAACTTTATTAGTCCTAGAAAATGAATCACAGCCTAAAGATACGACCAGTGATTTAGGGAAAAAAAAACATTTTTAATGTGTGTTATACCATATTATTTTATTGTATTATATACATCCCTAGGCTTTTCCATGGCATTCACAAAACTATTTTAAAAACACTCAAAGAAAATAATATGGATTTAATTTGAAAATTTCCTTTTTAACCAGCAAGAAAATAAGACCAAATTGTATCAGGCAAATTTGTTGTCAAGGCCACTCCAGGATCCTCGTAACGAATTACACTCCCATATTGGTGATTACACTGGTAATTCTTACATTCGAGAAACCTCCCGAAAACTGTCCACAAGATTGAAAAAGCATTTAAAGTTCCTTCCTTTAAGCATACTGCTTAAAATAGTCACTCTTTTGTTTATTTTTTCGAATGTTCAATTATTGGCAGAGAAATTAATACAAATCGAAAAAAATTCAAAGAAATTCTCTTTATTAAAAAACAAAAAACTAGTTAACCAATATTTAGGTATAAAATTATATTTGTTTTATTTTTCCTTTTTAATAATTGTTTCTTTCATTGATTATGTTGCTTAGCGACGTAGTATTGTTGTTGATATTCCAATATGTAACGGCTTTGTTCCGTTATTCAATTGTATCCATCTGACGATGCTAGGTAAACCTAGCGAAACGTAATATTTTTTTTAATATAATAAAAAATATAGTTTTAAAAACAGAATTACTTGTTTTATCAGTAAATAATACCGTAATTTCCATATTACAAGTTCTTCTTTTAATTTCATTTTTGACGTACTACCCTCTATTTAAACCTCCTTGCAAACAGTTCATGAAACTATATTTGTTATTAAATTATCTAATACTAGCTGGACGGAAGTTGTGTAAATTCATGATTAATGAAAGGTTACCTTTGGACATGAAAAGTTGCTTCCCTCATATGTAATTGTAAAAAACGCCCATAAATAATGGAAAACACAAAATGTGAAACCGCAAATTTGCATGTATCTCCGTATGGACCCAACAAATTTGGTGAGATACATCAACAGGAGGCGAAGTAGTGGTAAAAAAACGCAAAAATGCCCATACAAACCGTAAAATGCAAAACTGAAAATTTGCATGTATCTCTCTATAGACCCAATGAACCTCCATACCAAATTTGATCCATCGACAGGAGGTGAGATAGTGGTAAAAAAACACCCATAAAAATGCAGAATGCAAAACCGAAAATTGTATGTATCTCCCCATGGACCTAATGAACCTCCATACCAATTTTGGTAAAGATCCATCCACATCCTGCGAAGTAGTTGCATGGACATACAACAGACAGTACTATTATATTTATATAGATCTTACCACACTCAACTTTAATTAGCCATGATTTCAACTAAATTAGACGGCACCTGTGCACAAAATCGCACTCAAAATAGAATTTGATTTATTAAATAAGTTGTCCCATAGTGGAACAGCAGTAAGTTTACAGACTTACAACGCTTAAATCCAGGGCTCGATTCTTCACAGTGGACACAGCGGATAGCCCAGTGTGGCTTTGCTCTACAAAAAAAAACAATAAAAAAAAACGATTAAATAAGCTATCGTTGTGTGCGCGGTTTTAATCTCAACAGTGATTTTGTTTCTATATTCTACGTTATGTTATTGTAAATATTAAATGTGAAAAGCTATTTATTAGACAGTGTGGTTTCCATGGAGATATTTTGTTGTTTATTTCAACATGTGGCGTTGTGTATTTACAGAATCATGATCATGAAACGGCGTTACACTCAGCTGCCCAGTATGGCCACACTGACGTCGTAACTCTCTTGCTCCAAGTAAGTGTTAAACACCGTCCTTTCATAAATTTTATATTTTTTTAACCTGAATAATTTAATAAGGATCCTAGCGAAGCTGCCTTGTAACACGTAGTTGATTGATGAATAAACCTGGTCTTTACTTTTTGAAAATTCGAATAAATTACCTTAGACATGTGTGCTTTCAATGTATATATATTTTTTAAATTGTAAATAACTTAGGTTTTCATTTTTTTGGTATTATTCAAATTTCAAAAATTATTATTAAGTTAATTTTATTTCCTACTTAAGCAAAATACTGTTAATTATCGTCTTCTATATTTGGTAAGAAGCTAAATGATTATAAGAACAATAAAAATAGGGTGAAACGCTTTCGAAAAATGGCCGTGTTCTCTTAAGAAAGAAATCTCGTGTTTTTGACGTAAAAGGGACGAAGAGAACGACTATGCCTTTTAGGTGTTTTTTTTTCGTATATGTTTTAAAGATGTTTGTTTTAATTTATCCATTTATTCGTATTCAAACACATAGATTTAACCAGAAAATAAATTCTACCCCTCCACACTTATGCTGTTGAAATACATTAGCAATAAGGCAACGAATAATAACTGGTGTTGATGTTGTACGTGAAGCTGATTTTAATGAAGAGCCTTTCAGAATACAAGTGATCCAGAGCTATAAAAATTTATTTGAAGTGATGGAATTGAAAAATGGTTGAATGGTGTGAAAAAACGAAGAAAAACGTAAACAAATCTGCTACTATTGAAACCATCTCAGCGCGACGTAAGGAACGTATTATTTTCTAGAAATTTTCAAAAGAATTTAATAGCTTTGGGAATCATTACTCATTTTCAACTAGTACTATGTTTAAGACATCACAAAGTAAAGAACAAAAGAACAGCTTATTTATTTATTATGTCTCGTATGGAAACACAATATTTTTTTATTGTTTCTTCTTTTTCCAAACACCTTTCAATCGACCACATACATTCTTTCATTTCTAGGCGGATTAACTTGAAACATGGTAGGCCTAAAACGCCCAGAAACCTTTTTCATTTTTTGTATTTAAACATTTTCTAAGGATTACATAGGGTCATAGGTAAAAAAATGTATATTTTGGGCTCATGTGCAGTCATATTTATAGCAATCAACGTGAAATTGGCAAAAATATAATTTTTCACGCTTCCAACACATGACATACATACAAAAAAGTTGAATTTATCCATTTTGTGTCTTTTTTTTAAGAGAATCGGAGCTCACAAATAATTATAATTGTAGGGGTTTTTTGGTCAATTACTCTGACATATTTCGACCATTTTACGTGCTATTTAGTATAAAGATATAGACAATTTTGGAATTTTTGTCTTTTGCTCCACTTTTCAGCGAGGAAAGCACAATTTGGGTTTTCGTGAACTATTCATGTGTATGTAAACTACATTATATGGCATTTGATACAAATATACCTTCTAGCAGGTTCCAAACAATGATATAGACAGTTCTTTTAATTTTCTGGTGTCAGAATTGGCCATGTTCGGATTGTGTGACGGAGACATGTTGCACATTCGCCCGTGAATGTTGACCTGTTTATTTTTCAGAAATCTGGGTATTTACTGGCCAAATTCATGATCGTCAAAGTATATTTTATGTCTGATAGAAAGTAAATTATCGTATGAGATTACGACAGATTCAAAGAGTTGGGAGAACGCCACTTTTATTATATAATATTTATCTTGTTTTTCTTTGTTATTTGCGTGTGTGTGTTAAAGACCTCAACCTTATGACTTGACATCTTAGGCTGTAACAAAAAAGAAATATTTTATATTGATGATGACTAAATGCACACATTTCCACCGCCATTTGATAATGTCGGTTCAAGTGTAGTTTGATTCTTGATCATAGAATAATTGTGACCCTACCATACGGAACCTGAAGGAAGAAACAGCCCTTGATTTAGCTGCCCAATATGGTCGATTAGAAACTGTGGAACAGCTCATCAAACACAATCCCCAATTGCTTCGAAATAACATCAAAAAACATTCCCCTCTCCATCTGGCGTCAAGAAACGGACACAAGCAAGCAGTTAGAACTCTTTTAGACGCTGGATTTGACGTAAACTTCCTGGTAAGATGCTTACAATAAATATTGTTATTACAGCTACTAACAGCCCAACCGAACCACAGTTATTTGAGAAAGTAAAGCTATGAACGAACTGTCAAAATTATGTCTATCTAATTCTATTAATTCTCATGCTTGAATTTAATACAAAAATGTTCTTTCTTGGTCTATTTTATATTGCAAATTTTGTTTTTGCCAAAGACGTCCAATATTCTTGTACTTTGGATTTTACTCTTATGCTTGCATATTTACCTAACACATCGTTCTTCTCATTTGTTTTAAATCTGGTTTTGTAGTTCATATTTATATTTTTAATTCAAAACAGCATATATATATTGTATTTCACGAATTTCAAATTTACAGGCAGAGGGTGGTAGTGCGCTCCATGAGGCGGCCTTTTATGGCAAAAATGAAGTTGTGAAGCTTCTCTTAGATTATGGGGTTGATGTTAATTTACAAGATCAGCATGGAAGAACAGTGTTTGATTTATTAGAAGATCTAAACACCAACATCGCTAAAAAAACCTTCAAAATAGTCAAAGGTATGTGATCATTATACTAAGCCTCAGACGATTAATAGACACTTAAAAGGTTTTATCGTCTTACGTATCCTTAGAAAATACAAAATTATGCGTTAGGGTTTTAAGTTATAGTTCCCCAATATTTGATTTAAGTTAATTTTAATGTGTTATTAACTTATTTCACAACTAATTGTGCTGTTTTGTTTTCAGGAAAAAGTAACAAAAATATATTTATGATTTACACATAAACGTTCACGTTTAATCTTCACGCTATTTTGGTATTGATTAATATATATTCTTAATAAACTGACACTTTTAAAGCAATAACATTTTTGATGTTGAGACTTCAATAAAAATTAAGGAACTAGTTAAAACCTTTCTCATTTAACGAACTAATTTGAAAAGGGAGTGTTTAACATATGTTTTATGAGCAATGCCAAAATTAATTTATTCTTGTTTTTTTCGTAAAATGTCATTATAGAGAACTTAGATAGAGTTAACCGCCCCATAATTGTGATCTCATGTGAAAAAGATTAATGTTTTCACAAATAAAATGTGATACGTCGTTTATTTTATTCTATTTAACAAATACGTAATTTTCATTAGTTTGTGTGTGTGTGTTTGGGCATGAAAATTATCATCTTCCCCCTGGCGATTATTTTAGACCACACTACTCTAGTCGCTACGGATGAAGATGTAGTAGAATCTCCGTGTTCGTTATCACCGCCACCTGGTTTTCTCTCCGGGACTTATGCGAACGTCCTTCTACCTGAGAGGTTGTCTTCTTATGGTATATCTCCTACAAAACAGAATAGTTCTCTCATTTTAGATACCAATTTTTATGAAGTTCCACCTCCACCCAGGTCTTTCAGTTCAAGTAAACGAACCTCAGGGTAAGTTTCATTATGATTAGAGTGATTAGAAATTTCTCATCAATTAGTGTACAGGGCGTTAGTTCAACCAATCAACCTGCAGATTTTGATAGCAAATCTAAATCTAACTATTGTAACTTCTGCAAGACTTTTTCATTTGTGTTATTTATATATATTCATTTTTGTAGTTAAAAATAGAGATCGATATTCGTTTTAATCTTATTCAAATGTGTTCTTTAAAATATATGTAAAAATAAAAATAATCACCATTATCTGTCTCTTGAGTCAGTATTCTTCTCAGAGATACATAAAGATTTCTGCTTGGATGAGTCTCTATCCTACTCAGAGGTGTAAAGATTTCTGCTTGGATGAGTCTCTATCCTACTCAGAGGTGTAAAGATTTCTTTGGATGAGTCCCTATCCTACTCAGAGGTGTAAAGATTTCTGTTCGGGTGAGTCCCTATCCTACTCAGAGGTGTAAAGATTTCTGCTTCGATGAGTCCCTATCCTACTCAGAGGTGTAAATATATCTGTTTGGATGAGTCCCTATCCTACTCAGAGGTGTAAAGATTTCTGTTTGGATGTATCATACCACTGACTGCATATAACGCATTAGTCTGTCTTTGTAATCACTAATAGTGTAGTGTTTTGGTAGTGGGTCCATAAGGATATACTTCTTTAAAGATTATATATAGCATTTAGGCACAGTTTGGTTTGATTTGTTATATTAATATGTGTGTTAGGTCCGTTGGCACAGGACTGGATCAGTGGAACAGTTTCATTTCTTTAACTAACTGTACTTTAAACTTTGAGGGTTTTTTTTATTATTATACGGAAGGCATGCATTTTCAATCGATGTGTTTCGATTTTCAGGGGGGGGGGGGGGTAGAATATGTATGGAAACACAGATTAAAAAGTGTTATTTGTTTTAATGTGTCAGAAATGTTGGGTATTCTTTCCGAAAACCTCGAGTTGTGAAATATATTGAAAGCAAGTTTTCACGTTCTCAATCTAGCTTACAATAACCAAGAAGAAACTCATGATTTAAACTAAACTTCAGTCTTTCCACAAAACTGTAGCAAGGATATTTTCACTATGAAGATAGAGCTTGATAATTTGAAACAACAAAAAAACAATTTCTTTTAAGAAAAATCGTAATTTGACTCAACTCGACCTTTTAATTGTCTAAGTTAGTATTTGTTTTAAGCTAACACAAATAAATCATTATGATTAAATTGGTGTGAGTCGATTTCTGATAGAATGAGTACAATCATAATAAGGATGAAGGGAAAGCAAAATACGAGTAATAGCACGATGGGAACAAAGTGGTGTCAGAAATGCGGTTTACAACAAGGCTAAACGTTTAAAAGTTCTCGTGCTTTTTATGAAATTTTATTAGCATGTAGAAGTAAGGCAAGTGAATGCATAGACTTCCTACTTCTTACTGGATAACAACACCTACGGAGAAATCAAATTGGAATTATTAGAAAAATCCTGAACAGAAAACTTATTCATTTTCATTAGTTTCTTTTTACCTTTACCTTTATCTCCCTGTCTGACGACTTGACGGGTGGAATTCTGCTCTGTTGGATCTGAGAATCGCTTCCCAGGTGGTGGCACTTCATACAAGACTGTTTCTGAATCAGATGATCGAGATATTCGAGCTGACTGAAGTCGAGCCTTAGGAGTAGGTTGGTAAGCCGAACTGACAGAAAGAGAGTCAACTTCCCTTGAAGGAGGCGGTGTTTCGTAAAGTGACGGACTCCTGCTACTGCTAGAGGTAGTGTGCTCCAAACTAGAGTCATGAAATTTAGAAAATTTTGCTGTTTGATAATAGATAATCAGTGAGACAGTTAATCTGGAAACAAAGTTAATTTTATTCTCACATGTGTCACACGAACTAATTCATTTACAGTGTGACATTGAAAATTGATAACTACCACGTGATGCGCTCTCGGCCAATCAAGGCAAAGAAGTCATGAACTTGCTGTCTATTACTATAATCAATAGCACGTAGATTTAAAACTATGTTTCGTTTCTTACTGGCAGCATATTTCTTCTTTCGCCCCTCTGAGTTAATTCGTTTTCTCTCACATTTCTCGGTCTTTTTTCTCTTCTGTTAAACTTCTTATTTTTATATCCCCTTTTCAAAAACCACGCCGAACACACATATTTCCCTGATATCAGATTACAACGTGTCATAATCATAGGTGGTTCAGTAATCCCCACATCGAGCCGTTATATCCAGTAATTTTCTAACGACTTAGAGTGCTGTAATCTCCTAATCCTATAGGGACTGAACAAAAGTCGGCCACTTTCTCACCTCCCTCAACTTAAACCAATGTTCCTTACACCGAACTTAATAACAAGCCCCACTCCTTCTCAAGGTTAAGATCTTAATTGCACTAGTTCTAAGGTTAAGATCATTACTGCACAAATTGTGTTAGCCTCAAGGGTAAATTTATGATGGCTGTAGTCTTCAGGGTAAAGTTATAATTGCACTAACTCGAAGGTTATATCACCATCGCTCAAGCCTCAAGATTAATACTGTGGTAAATTTAGACTAGCCTGAGATTAGAATCGTGTTTGTTCTTATTAGCATATTAACCTCGAGTCTAATACTAAAGCTTAGAAATATATTTTGCCACATAGCCATTGTTACAGTTAACAGATTTGTTTCCCTCTACTACTGAACACTGGTAGCCTCATAGTTCTGTATAAATAAATGTGCAAATACTGTCAATATCTCTTAATGGTTAAACATTTTTTTTCAATCAAATTTCAGTTTCATTCACCGTACAAGTGATTAATCTCAGCTTGAAGTATAAAATCTATCCAAATGCATCACAAAAACTTGCCAAGTTTATAAACTTTCTCAGCTTGATTAAGCAACTGACATTATGATGTAAAATAATTGTATTTTAACAACTAATTAACAACATGTTGACAATGATTATTGAAGTAGGCAACCAAACATATGAATTAGTATTTGATTAACGCTTCTGTTCATTTCTGTGTATTTTCTTCAGGTTCTGATGGAGACATGCGAAGGAAAAAAAACTTTCAAACTCAACTGCCTGCGAATTATACTTGTTGTGATTTATTTGTCATTAAAATATTTATAAATATATTCAACAGATGGCTCTACTTTCGGAGTGATTTGTTCTGTTTGACTGTTTTTAACCAGGATTATATATGATAATTTTAGAATATATTCGTTTACGGCTTTTTATTCCCTGATTCATGGACACAAAAAATACCCATGCACTTTTTTATATACAAAATTATATGTGGACAGAGGAGTTACAGTGATGCATTGGATATCCTTGGGAAACTAGTGTGAAAATCCACGTCATTCTTTCTATAAAAGGAGTGTAACAACAGTGTACAGGCTTGCAACAAAAGTTCTTTGGGTGGTAGAAGCAGTAAGTGGTTGCATCAAACTGTGGAAGCTACTGGACATGATTTTTAACAACTTGTAAATCCCTTTAATAGAAAACTTGTGTGCTTTTTGCAAGTGGTAAAACAACTCATCACACAATGAAAGATTGTACAATACAAAGGTTTGATAAAATAGTGTTTGGTATGGAGAAAACATGAAGCAGGTGATTCAATTTTGAACTTTCCATTGTTATCTTAAGAGCGTCTATGGTCACTGACACTAGGTGTGTACCAACTGAAGTAAAATGTATAATACCCACAAGGACATCTTTCTGAGGGTGAACTATATGACTTTTGGGTCAGTAGTGAAAGGGATGGTCTTCTCTGTGTAAACATTTCTGAGGGAGAACTATATGACTTTTGGGTCAGTAGTGAAAGGGATGGTCTTCTCTGTGTAAACATTTCTGAGGGTGAACTATATGACTTTTGGGTCAGTAGTAAAAGGGATGGTCCTCTTTGTGTAAACATTCACTCTCAGTGTATAATACACACAAGGACATCTTTCTGAGGGTGAACTATATGACTTCTGGGTCAGTAGTGAAAGGGATGGTCTTCTCTGTGTAAACATTTCTGAGGGAGAACTATATGACTTTTGGGTCAGTAGTGAAAGGGATGGTCTTCTCTGTGTAAACATTTCTGAGGGTGAACTATATGACTTTTGGGTCAGTAGTGAAAGGGATGGTCTTCTCTGTGTAAACATTTCTGAGGGTGAACTATATGACTTCTAGGTCAGTAGTGAAAGGGATGCTCTTCTTTGTGTAAACATTCACTGTCAGTGTATAATACACACAAGTACATCTTTCTGAGGGTGAATTATATGACTTGTGGGTCAATAATGTTTCAAGTAATGCACTGTTGGGCAACCTAAACAAGTCTGTGGGCCTCAAGACCCACAAGACACCCTTTTTCCAGTCATAAGCCAAAAATTATACATTACAATGAAAACTTGCTATATATGAAATCTATTTTAGGATGCAGGGGCAAGAGCTCAGATTGGCCTCAGTGGTGGACCACAAGACCCTCTTTACCAGTAACAAGCCACAAATGATACTTTAACCAAAAGTGAGCTATACATGAAATCTATTTTAGCATGCAGAGACAAGAGCTCAGATTGGCCTCAGTGGTGGACCACAAGACCCTCTTTACCAGTAACAAGCCACAAATGATACTTTAACCAAAAGTGAGCTATACATGAAGTCTGTTTTAGGATGCAGGAGGTGGAGTGGAGGCTTCAGATTGACCTCACTAGTGGGCAGTGGGTTGACAGCCACTCTCTGCACTCAGCATGACAGTCAAAGTTACCTGTCTATCCTATCCTGGTATTACTTGTGTCATGCAAGCCCAGGAATCATGGGTTGCTCTTTCTACATAATGTCAGTAATGTGGTTCCTGGTATTCAAATGGCACAAAAGTAACATTTTGGCTCTCAAGACCACCTTCTACACCAAATATTAATGAAACTTCAAGTAACTGAAGGTTGATTGTGAACACTTAGCATACATGGTTTGTGAAATAGAAGAGTTATGAACAAGAATCATGGTGATTTTCTGGTAATTGTTTACGTTTTTTTACATGTGTGTGAAATAAAATAAATACAACATAGGTAAATTAAAGATATTCTAAAAATGGGCAAAATCCCTATCTAATCGCTCTTATTGACACTTTGCTTCATAAAAAATCATGACTCTTTCAGATTCAAGTGGAGCATCATCGTCTCGAAGCAGTAGTACTAGCAGCTACATTCCAATGGCACCACTACAACCAACAACTGGAGGTGGTGTTGGGAAACCACAGGTTTGTGCAGTTTTGAAAAATATCCCAATGAAAAGTTCCCAAATTTACTTTGAATAATATTTATGAGTAGATTTAGGAATAATACAGTTCTAAGTCTTACAACGCTAGAAACTCGGTTTCGATACGATACCTGTGGTGGGCAGAGCACAGATAGCTCATTGTGTAGCTTTGTGCTTAACTTCAAACAACAGCAACTTTATGTTTATAACAATTATATGAAAATAACGTTTGTTTCCTAAATTATGTTTTAGTTTTTTTTTAATACTTTAATTTTTTTTATTAGACTTGAAACTTATGTTTCAGTAGTTTTAACTTAGTATATCTGTAGTCTATTACACTTTGAAATGTTTGTGTGTAGTTCTTTGGTAAATGTTAGATCTTTGATCTTTACAATTGTAGAATACAATAAACTGTTAATGTAAAATTTGATTATTGCCGAACAGATCGAGAAAAGTAAAATACACAAAGAATTTTGAAGGATATCCCAACAAAAATTAGACATCATGGTTCCCAATAATGTAGTATCCTCAGTAACATTTTACCCATCTACTGAGATTTTCAGTTTGAAGTTCAAGATTTTGACTGACTTTAGTTTGAGTAGTGAACCTCCACAGACACAACAATCTGAATATCACATTCGTAATCTAAGATCTCTCTCAATGGCCCATCACATACATGTATAGTGTCTCTTAAAGTAGGAGACGTTTTTTGTTTCTTGTATATATCTGTGTTTTAGTGGGGTCAGTTACGGGATGAAAGATTAAATTTTGTGTCCAGTTCAGAAAGAAAAGAGTTAAAAAGGGGACCGTTTATCATTTCTTTTCGTTATCATTTAAATAATTAATACAAGGCATTTGTTTCTAAACTTGTAGTCCCCGTAAGGTAAGCAACAGAGCTTCGCTCTGTCGTATTATTTGTGAATTAGCCTTTTATATATAATTTACACTGTAATATCTGGCTACTTATTGAATGATCTGTGACATATTCTGGGCTATTAGGCATATATAATCAAATAAGAAAGATGTTTTGGTTGTTTACCGCCATTACAGTTTCAAAAACAAAGAACTAAAAACATATCACACACACAAAAAAAATTGTAATCCGTTAGTATAGATACATGCAGCTTTTTTATGTTAAACAACAAAGTTTTTGCAGTTGTAAGTGCTTTTTAAGGAGCTAATGGGAAGTTTTTATGGATATTATTACCGTAAACTCTCCTCTTGTAAATTTACGGACTAACAGTGCAAAAATCGAGGCTCGATTCTCTTCGGTGGACAGAGTGCAGATATCTCATTGTATAACTTTGCAACAAGAAAACAACAATACTGTAAAATGTATAGATGAAATATCGAATAAACCCTTTTATTTTATTTAATGGCTTTTCGTTCCTCGTTCTTGTTGCAAGTGGAGAGAGAGATATAACTGTATTTCGTATACGTTCTATTACATTAAACTTCTATAACAAATATGTCGAGAACACTACACAGTCACGAATTCTGTATTTTCCTGTTAACTTACGATAACATATTATATAATACCTAATAAATCTGGTGGAAATCGTGCTGTTGTTCCCTTAGTGAGTTCCATCGGTATACTGGATTCTCTGAGTCAGCGTTGACTCATGCAACAAGTTGTCTCGTGATTAAACTAGAGCAAAGTATTGTCTTTCAAACCCTCACATCCTTAACCTGCTTTACAATGAATGGATTATGTTTATCACCCTTTCTTCCCCTTTATGATCACTTTTAGTAATACGAATATTGCACGAATACTAAAGTGTACAAATCCTTGGTTTCGTGTTCTATTTTTCATGTCATGTCATTTCTTTAAGTAACTAATGGATGCCCATAACTCTTTTATAGCTGTAATGAATCGGAAATTACTTTTCTTACTGGTGCATACTTTTGCTGTTAGCGTAACTCCTGTAACGAGATTAAAGAAGACAAGGAAGAATTAGCTGGAGTTAACGTGTTTTTTTCGTCAGAGTGCAAGAATGAATTGTTCCTTTTGTGTGGTGTTGTGCTATTTGACCGTGAACGACCTTCGTCTGTAGCTTTAACGAGAAACTTGAAAATAATCTTCATTTAGGTGTTATTTGTACTAACTAGTATCAGTATTTCGCCTTAGTTAACATGTTCAGCTGATCAGTACACTTTGGAAATGAGTTTACAATTTTTTTATATTTTGGAGTCCATGAAGTTAGTTTCTCAAATTAATTTTTACTGTTTGAATGTAGCTACAGAGCTCTTAAATCCTTTCCTAGTTTAACCCATCAAACACAGAATGTCTCTTCAAAACTAAATTTAAAAATTAAGGATTGTCCTCCTTTTATACCCACCACCACCATCACAAAAAAAACACACCTTTTTCTTTTAAGCAGATTGAGTTTTCTGACTTAAAAGAATATGCCAATAACCTGAACGTTGTTGTTATCCAGCCAAGTAAAGGTGCAGGTTTCGCCATTTTAAGCTCTGAAAATGTTTATGAAATGTACATGTGTTCATTTACTAAGAAGATCACTCTTTCACATACAAAGTACACATTTATATTAATTAAAATATGTTTCGAAGAAACACATATAGCTTAAAATACGAGATATATTTGCTCACACAAGATAGGAGATTCGAGGACTACAATATCAGCTTTCATCAGACCGGTTAGAATGATAATAACAATTTGTGTTAAAGCGAGTCATTTATATGGAACTTTCATAACCTGTAACGATAAAACATATTGGAAGGGCGGTCAATGTTTGCGTGTAGTAGAAACACTGTAACTGAAGTACAACGATTTCGGTAAAACATTTATTCTGCCTTTAACGTTTGTGCAGTTTTTACTTGGTTAAATAAAATTGTACAGTAAATAATAGATATAAACCTAAATCGAGAGATAACATGATAAAATACGTTGGTGCAGGATTGCCAGCCACACCTCAATGACTTGTCAACACTCCTGATACAAAGGCTTTTAGTGTCAGTAGTGACGATACCGAACATGTTCAGAAGATTCTGTAAAAATGGACTCATTTACAGAAATTTCTGTTTCGTAAAAAAATAAAATACTGTCCTGATGTTTGTCTCTTATTAATATACATATTCACCCTGTTTTTGATTAATCTTTTGTTTTGTTCTTTGCCCTTTTTATGACAAAATGGATTTTGTTGTTGTTTTTTCTTTGTGCAGGTCGATGTTAATCAGACTTTTATGGTATTCGTGCGTTGTTGTTAGTTAATGGGTTATCAACCAGCGGTAATGGTAGTTTACACCAGGTGGCTACAGAAGACAGTCTAACAGTTCCACAAAGAGTGAGCTTCGAAAAAGTTCATTTGATTATTCTCTGATAGATTGTTTAGGCAGAGTATTCATGATGAAACTTTGTTGAACCACAAGTGAAGGGGACGACGTTTCGAAAGTCTTCCGAAGACGAAAGGCGTAAGACTTTCGAAACGTCGTCCCCTTCACTTGTGGTTCTACAACAGGCAGTTGCCGTCCATTCAACAAAGTTTCTTCGTTTGATTATAATAGAAGTTAGATTTTTCTGAGAAGAAAAACAAAATAAATTTAAATACAAATTATCTATGTGTGTGTTATGTTAGTTTGTTATTTGTTTTAACCAGTAGTCTGAATTATCTCTTCTAGCCTCCCGCTAAGCCCCCAAGACGGTCAATAGCTACTGTATCACCAGGCAGCAGACCTCACAGTGGTCGACCAGGTTCAACCTACGAATACCTCAGTTTAGCAACAAGTGGTAGCGATCAGTCACCACCTATCGGAGGAGGTGAATCCTCACGTGTGAACTCAGTTAAAGAACATGTAGTGAAACGAACACGGGGTGGAGAGGATTATGTTGATATGAAACTCAGGAACAGTATAGTAGGAAATTACGAAAACCGGGACGTTGTTCTCGCGTATTCCGTTGCAAGCACTGTTGATAATCAAGAAACAGTAATGGAGGATGCTGGAAGGACAGAAAAATATGTAAATGGGAATGAAGAAACTAGTGTGAATGATTACGATACTGACTTTTATGAAAAATCGTTTAGTGCGCTTTATGATGATATCGCTAGTGGTAAGTTAACCACATTTGGAACCGTCCAAACCAGTTCCAAAAGTACGACAGCTCTAACTCAAGGTAAGGTACTCACCAGTTCTCACAGTGTTTTTACTAGAGAGGACAGTATGACAGCTAAACCTAGTTTTCTAGACTTTCAAAATAAAAGAGCTACAGTGCAAATCCCATTGAGTCCCACGAATTATAACCAACCTCCTACTCCGGATTTTCCACCTCCTTCACCAGCCACTGCCGAGCATGGAATCCATGAGAAGATACGACCCCTGAGTCAGGTGTGTTGTTAAGTGTATATATAGCTGTTATAATACAATGGTTATATCTTAAATACTATAGTTATGATGTGCTGTAGATACCAAATAAATGGTTTACAAATTCACATAGGTTATATATATATCCTTTATCATATGGTTTTATGATGTTTGCAAAAAATCTATTTAAAATAACAGTAAAACCATGATAATGTGATTCTTATCTTAAGCACGCTCAGTGTGTGGCTAACGACTATGTTATTAATGTGTTATTAACGACGATCCCTAATAGCAGACTAATATTCACACTGTAAATGACTGTGATCACACAAACATTCGTTAAATTAACGGATCCAGATATTCACGTTTTCATAGGTTTTACAGGGTTGAATACATTATATTAAAACGATTTTTATTATGCAAATCAACAAGTCGCGTTATAAACACAGTCAATATAAACAACATAAAGTAGTGGTGGTACAGATTGTATCAGAACTACATTTTAACATTGATTGGTTTTACGTAGGTAGTGTTATGCCACCGAAAATTCTTCGCTTTTGGGAAGGGTATGTAACAGTCATTTCAGGTGCAACATATCATACATTCAGTCCTTAAAGTTGTGTTCAAATTGGGAATGTAGACTTTATAAGACTGGAATATCTTTTGTATTTAATGGCATTGGAAAAGAAAGAAATATGTATGAACTAGAAATACAGAGCCATCCAGAAAGAGACCTACAACTAGCGGTACCCCATCTACACCTACTAGTGGGTTATAAAAACTCAAACAAACAGAAAATTCACTGACACCAAGGACAGTGGCAAAAGCCGTTCACATGTTCCAGGGAACACTACGCAAAATGAACGAGAAGGATCTCTGTTTAGAAAAGCGATACAACTCGCGCGTACACATGCTGTTTTCACGACATATCCAGTCAACTGTCGCATACCTCAAGCAGCTGGAGAATAAAATAGCTATTCTTGTTATCCCATACGAAGACAAACCGGTTAAGTCGACGGATGCAGCGCTCATAGATTTCTGTGCGGTCTGACTGTTCAAACGGGCTTTAAAAAACCATTATCCTTGTACACTAGATGGAATATTGAAAGCTGCAAGGATGAGTGTTGTACTTTGAACATGACAGTCTTAAAACGGAGCGTTTTGTAATGGAAACTACGCTGCAAAGCTGTTGTCAAGTTTTACACTTGTCAGATAGAGCATGACCGACGTGTCGACATTGATTATATAACATTCTCAAGCAACTGATGTTATCAGTAGCCATGCGGTTTTTCGAATCTACTAGTTAATGAAAGAGATATTCACGCCCTGATTGGTTTTATCGTTCTGTTAAATAATGTTTTATATGATTTTACAGCTTTCTTTGGAAAGTAAATAGATATTGACGCTGTGATAAGTTGGGAATTCGTCAGGGTTCTGCTGATACTATGTAACGTAACTAGTTCATATACAGAGGTAAGTTTTCTGAAGAACAGAAATAAAAAGTGGTGAAATGAAATTGAAAAAAACAAAACAAACTATTCCTATTTTTTTATCTCGCACACTAATTGTCTTGTCCAACTATTAACTGTTACTGGAGAAAAGCTCACACTGTACAAACATTCATACCTGTACAACCTAATAGTTGATTTTCATAATTGGTTTATAATGGTTACTAATTAATCTGTTATAACTATGACTTTTGGGCCTTCCCTGGCGGTTTAAAAGAAAATTAAAGTACTTATATTAAGAGCAAGCGTACAACCCTTGTGTGTCTCATCATTTTTTTCTGTAATAATTTTGAACTTTGAATAACTGACACAGCCCCCTAATGAGATCATTTTTATCATTAGCTCGGTCAACACGTGCACATCATCTGCTACTCGTACGTTAGGAGAGTGGAGAGGCAACGTTCCAAAAGGCACGTGCTTCTTTCACGTCACGCTTTAATAGAAGATTATCACCGTACAGATGCGCATAGTTTCGTGTTTTTATGAATAAAACTATGTTATGTGCATGTATCACATGCACGTTTGTTTTTAACTGTGTTTGTATGTATATGTGCAATGCCTTAAGATTGGCATCAAATTACTAAATGACCCTCTCAAAGACTTGACCCTCCACATTCCAACACGTGTTTGTTTATCATACTGGTAGGTTAATGAATAACGACCTTGTATCCAGGTCTGAGCCGAAATGTATGACATTAAAATTATCACCAAATAATGCCTCGATGAAATGACAACCTAGGGGTAAAACGCAATGGAATTTTATTTCGAGAAAGGCAAACTATTCTTTCTTGCGTTACGTCATGTAAGGGCAAAAAAAAACATACATGGTAGGGAAAGACATGTTACATAAATTTGATTGGCTGCTGAAAGAAACAGCCTGTCTAGATCTCGCAATTACGTTGTCGTTCATTTCAACAGCCAGATAAGACATACTTGGTTAAGGAGTTGTCACAAAATAATTTCTTTCCCTTACTAAAACTCGACTGGTAAGATAAACTTTTTATACATCTGTTGGTATGACATTAGGTTCCTTAAGAGTTCTTGTTCTTGGCTGTCTTGAATTATTGATATGAACACAATGAAACACATTCTTTGTGTGATTTTTATCGTTGTTACTATTTTAATGAGAAAGAAAAAACTCAATTATCTTTTACTGAGATACCGATTTAACGAACTTATGTAAAACAGTTGAATTTTAATTTGCCAAGATGCTTACTATATTCATATTTACAAATAGGCAAGTGCTGTTGTATTTTGATTTTATTACCATCTTGCCTTACGAACTTAGTATTATTTTGATTTTTGCATGTATTTTGTTCGTTTTCTTATTTTACGTTTTCTAATATACATTGCTCAACTTGTGTTTTTTTTTATATATATTTTATGTGTCTTAAGTGTTTTTTTTTATTATATGAATTATTTTAATTCACTATCAATTTAGGATGAATTAAGTGACGAAACATCCGATATTGACGAGGTAAGTTTGGTTTTTGTTTTATATTCATTATCGTCATGTTTTTGTTTTATTTCTAATTGTGTACGAATGGCTTAGCTGTTTTAATTAATGTGTTTCTTTGTGAATTACTGTTTTACTTTCTTATCAATCACATTTTATATTCATACAAAGGCTATTATAAATATTCTTGGACATCATCTATCATCTATTTATAATCACTGGTTTTGAAAGGTATATTTTGTAGTTTGAGTACTTGCTAATTTCATTACAAATTTGGCTGATAGGCGTAGTCACATGGGGTAATTATTTTGCTTAGTTTTGTGAATGAAGTAAGCATTGATTAAGCCTAACCTTCTGAATAAATATGTCAAAAGTGTTCTAGATTGAGAGATGTCTAGTTACTTGGTAGGTTCGATTGAAATAACTAGGGTTTGGGTAATATTTGAAAAAAGATAGAAATGGTTTGTATATCTTACAGGGTGGTTTCTTTTCATGTTGCTATTGTTTACACCTACAGTGTCCAGTAAAGTTACAAGATAATCTATCATATCGTCTGAATTTAGCCAGAGTGAGTATGTAACTCTAGTTAGAATCGCGACTGTTTTTGATTCCCGGAAACTATGGAAATTAAGTTTATAATATTCAGCTTATCTTAATTTTCAATCAAGTTTAATTCCTCCAAAAGTTAATGAGGATAATTATAAAAGAATTCATTTGAAAACCCGTTCCATAACAACACAGCGCCAAGTATCTGTTCAGGTGTGCGCATGCTTTCTCTATTCAATAGAAATAATAATTAGTTTGTTTGCAAAGCTCGACAGTTCCTAGTTTCTTTTAAGTTTTCAATGTCAAACAAAAACTAGGCTTCACAAAATAATTAAAGGATAACCACAGTTTGTTATATTATAGATAGCACAAGACAATGTCGCTGTCTAACTAATGTCAGTCACATCTCCAAGTTTATTGTTATGCAAATCAGACATCAAATTTGAACTGATAAAGCTCAAGCTTCGTAAAATTCATGATTCTTTCATTGCTATCTGCAGTTTGTAATGTAGTGAAACGAGGGTGCTTTACACCAAGAAATACTGTAGTACGTAATAAGTGAAAATTAAATTGTTATTCAGCTAAATGCACAACATAACTTGTATGAAATTATCTTTTAAAAGCTAATTCTATTCATTGACTAGAAATCACTAATCAGATTTAGTGATAATGTGTCGCCAGTAACAACCAGTGAAACATGAATACCATCAAAGTGGTCAAAAGTTAAGATCTGATTGAAACACCTCTTTTGAGAAAGTCACATTTGACAAATAGAGATACATACTAAGTAACGAGTGTGGGCTCCCTTAGCACTGATACAGTCAGTGAGATCAATATGTCTGATCAATAGGTAGACAACATTATGGAGAATGCTGTTCTGTTCCTTAATCATTACAACTCCAAATTATTTTCCGTTGCGTGTTAGGTTAAGACGTTGACACATAGGGTGTTCGAGGACGTCCCAAAAGGATTCTGTGAGATTTAGATCGGGATTTCTTGCTGGTCAGCGTATGACTCCATTGGTTTTTATTCAAGGTAACCCATAACGATCTTGGCAGAAAAACAGCAAGTATTATCTTGTATCAGAACCAAGTCTAGTGTGATTAAAGTCGCTAAAAGTCATATAGCTTGACCCAACTTAGGCATGTCATCAAGCATTACATTCGCTCCTTGAAAGCATATTAAGATTGTACGTCCGCTTACACTGAAACTTCGTTACAACATAATTGAACCGCTACTGAAACGGTCACATTCAATAACGTTGCACTGAATAAGTTATTCATCCCTGGCTTTCCGCACACAGACCCGTTAGGTACTGATGGAAATAAGAAACTAGAGGGAAGGCTAATCACCACCCACCGCCAACTCTTGGGCTACTCGTTTACCAACGAATAGTGAGATTGACCGTCACATTATAACGCCCCCACGGCTGAAAGGGCGAGCAAGTTTGGTATGACGAGGATTCGAACCCGCGACCCGCAGATTGCGAGTGGAGTGCCCTAACCACCTGGCCATGCCGGGCCTCTGAATAGTGATCAAAGGGTAAGGTACATATTTAATGAGTTTGATTTTACATCGAGAAAATTTGTTGTAGCAACGCCATTGGGCGCACTTGTACTCCTTACACTGCTAAATTAGGGACGGCTAGCGCAGATAGCCCTCGTGTAGCTTTACGCGAAATTCAAAAACAAACAAGCACTATTCAGATAGCTGTTTGAATGTGATGTAGTTGACTTGTGATCTTATTCAGATATTGTATACAGACAAGCTTGGAGTGGCCATCAACTAGTAATTCTATGGACCGAAACAACTACAATTAACTCTGTACAAGTAATTTCCTTAAAACTTTTTATCGACTCCTTATTAAAAATCTAATGTATCCAAAGACTGAACGGAAGAAAACTGTGTTGCGTGTTTATACTAATGTATCTATCGAAGTAACAGCTAAATAAACGTATAAAAAGCATTGCTGAATACAACATAATATACATCACCGACACGTACGTTCATATGTAATGCCACAGAAACTACTATCGCAGTACTCTCTGACCTTTCAACTTATGTTTACTTACAAGGCCCCGTATATAACAATATGTCGCTATTGTCAGGTGATATGTCGCACTTTTAATTCTCCTGACGAACTAATTACTTAATTCTGGTGTTCAAAGTTGCGTTTGTTTTTATCATGTGAGCAGTAACCTCAGCTTTGTGAATGTCGGAAAATGGTAGAATAAACATACTAAATGTTCTCCTGCCAGGTGTTGAAACTATCTGTAATTTTTAAGACTTTCACGTCGATGACCTTAAGAATCCAATTAGTTATACGACTCAACGAAACACACTGTCCTGTGCAAGTGACACGAGGTGGATCTGAAGAAAGGTTAACACGCTGTCCTGTGCAAGTGGCACGAGGTGGATCTGAAGTAAGGTTAACACGCTGTCCTGTGCAAGTGACACGAGGTGGATCTGAAGAAAGGTTAACACACTGTCCTGTGCAAGTGACACGAGGTGGATCTGAAGAAAGGTTAACACACTGTCCTGTGCAAGTGACACGAGGTGGATCTGAAGAAAGGTTAACACACTTCCCTGTGCAAGTGACACGAGGTGGATCTAAATAAAGGTTAACACACTGTTTTGTGCAAGTGACACGAGGTGGATCTGAAGAAAGATTAACACGCTGTCCTGTGCAAGTGACACGAGGTGGATCTGAATAAAGGCTAACACACTGTCCTGTGCAAGTGACACGAGGTGGATCTGAATAAAGGTTAATACACTGTCCTGTGCAAGTGACACGAGATGGATCTGAATAAAGGTTAACACACTGTCCTGTACAAGTGACACGAGGTGGATCTGAAGAAAGGTTAACACACTGACCTGTGCAAGTGACACGAGGTGGATCTGAAGAAAGGTTAACACGCTGTTCTGTGCAAGTGACACGAGGTGGATCTGAAGAAAGGTTAACACGATGTCCTGAGCAAGTGACACGAGGTGGATCTGAAGAAAGGTTAACACACTGCCATGTGCAAGTGACACGAGGTGGATCTAAATAAAGGTTAACACACTGTTTTGTACAAGTGACACGAGGTGGATCTGAAGAAAGGTTAACACACTGTCCTATGCAAGTGACACGAGGTGGATCTGAATAAAGGTTAACACACTGTCCTGTGCAAGTGACATGAGGTGGATCTGAAGAAAGGTTAACACACTGTCCTGTGCAAGTGACATGAGGTGGATCTGAAGAAAGGTTAACACACTGTCCTGTGCAAGTGACACGAGGTGGATCTGAATAAAGGTTAACACACTGTCCTGTGCAAGTGACACGAGGTGGATCTGAATAAAGGTTAACACACTGTCCTGTGCAAGTGACACGAGGTGGATCTGAATAAAGGTTAACACACTGTTCTGTACAAGTGACACGAAGTAGATCTGAAGAAAGGTTAACACACTGTTCTGTGCAAGTGACACGAGGTGGATCTGAAGAAAGATTAACACACTGTTCTGTACAAGTGACACGAAGTGGATCTGAAGAAAGGTTAACACACTCTTCTGTACAAGTGACACGAAGCGGATCTGAAGAAAGGTTTTTACATTTTGCCCATAAACTTCATAACCTTGTGAGATAATTTTTAGTTACCACATGATTTCAGCAATGACAGTACTCTGCCGTGGGAACCGTCTGTTTGCATACATTATAGCGCATATTGTTGACGGTTGTTTTGTATAGAAGGACGTCATCAGTTCTATTGTACAGTGTTTTATGGTTCGTGTAATTAATTTTCACCTACGATGTTTTGTCTTGTTTGCAAGTAAGATGGTGTTTTCGTCATGGTGCTTGAAGATAACTCAGGATGAGTTAATTGTGCGCCCTATTGTCCACTATATCATTACATGGTAAACGGTTTTTACCAAAAACAATAATAATGAAGATATAAATGAGAGAACCTGGTGTTTCCAACTGCATGCATGTTTTGGCCACACCATTAAGAACTAAGATTTAATTATATTTGAAACTGAAGAGAGATATGTTTTTAAGTATATATGACGCCATCTATGTTGATAGTACTGAAACAGAGAGTGATAAAAAGTGAGACGAAGAACATATTTCACTTCCAAGACATTACACTGGTTGTACTAAGACATATTGTTTTTATTTCAGTGCATTATATTGGTTATGTTTAAACACACTGTTTCCTTTTTATTTTTTGGCTTTACACCAGTTATATTAAAGTACGCTACTTCCTTCTTTCAAGACTTTACACCAGTTATATTAAAGGACGCTATTTTCTCCTTTCAAGACTTTACACCAGTTATATTAAAGTACGCTACTTCCTTCTTTCAAGACTTTACACCAGTTATATTAAAGGACGCTATTTTCTTCTTTCAAGACTTTACACCAGTTATGTTAAAGGACGCCACTTCCTTCTTTCAAGGCTTTACACCAGTTATGTTAAAGGACGCCACTTCCTTCTTTCAAGACTTTACACCAGTTATGTTAAAGGACGCCACTTCCTTCTTTCAAGACTTTACACCAGTTATGTTAAAGGACGCCACTTCCTTCTTTCAAGACTTTACACCAGTTATATTAAAGAACGCCACTTCCTTCTTTCAAGACTTTACACCAGTTATGTTAAAGGACGCC